AAATTTCCCACCATTTGTAACTATTTATCATTATATACATATTACTTGTAGGTATTATAGATTATACCACCTCGTTTCTCCCAGTGCCTTTGACCATATTTAACTTTTCTTCTTCAAGAAATCGATATCTGCTGACCGGCAAACAATTTTGGCAAATATTACAACAATATTTCGATGCGATGTCCATGAGGGAATTACCTTTCGAGTGGGGTGTAGTGTTCGATTTTTGATCGGCAAGAACAAGGGCGAGGAGTGGGTGGTTTTATGACACTGCCTGACAAGTTTATGCCACCAGAGTTTCACATGCAACCACCCAGCTGGGTCGTAAAGCCAACTGGCAAGGCCGGCCGAAAAGGGCGGCATTTCGGGGAGGCACACACTTAATGGCAATAATAAAGTGGCGCAGGCATTCAACACTTTGTCAGCGGCTTTCGCGCTGTCTGGCCGCATTTATCATGCCACTCGGGCTCCAGACTATTTTGACAAGTTATCAAAATGAAATGCAGCCAACAGCCAACAGCCAACAAGTTGCTCGTGTGGCAGAAGAAGAAGGCAGCCAGACAGACAGGCAGACTCCCCTTTTGGCCCTGTCATAATCCCTTTGCTGCGGGGAATGAGTTGGATGCAAAGAGCTCTCGACAGACGACAAGTGTATTTATGTTATGATTTGAATACCGCTAATGACAGCCAGACTCGACAGCATCTTTCGGGTCTCTGAGCAGACATTCTATACAGACAGATGGATGGAGGATGGAGGGGGATCCCGAGATCCAGGAATCCACATTTTCAGCGCCCCCATCAATCCGCTGCTGCGTTGTAGGTATTTTCACACCTTAACGCCTCGGAATTGGAATCGATCTGGGAATGCTTTGCACGTGAGCTGCAGAGCTGCAATTGAACATCGTCATTATGAGGCCCATAACGCTTCGAGTAAGATACTAACATAAGATACATTTATCCACGCCGTGCGTGTGGCATCTCTTCCTTCAAATGCAAATGATGCCACCGCCTCATCCGCTTTATCTGGGTCCCGAACTCCGTCGGCGGACGAGGGGAGTGAGTTACGATTACGATGCCGCGATAATATCAAGCTTTATAAATTTATTAGGGCCAGCTATGTACGCGGCGAGCCAGATATATTTAGCCAGGTGGATAAATAGATGCATAGATGTAAGACTCACTCTCTAGTTGGGTAAGAAAATTATTTACGGATTGGAGCGATTTATGAGATAAAGATATTAGGAATGCACAGTAATAAGTATTAAATCAAAAAATGAATGTTAAATAATAAGGTAAGACACCTATGTGTAGCAAATGTTTACCTGATTTTATTTTCTACTTTTAGGGTGAAGAAATAAGTTTAAATCTTTACAGATAGATAAACAGATAGATCTTTTTAATAACACTGCAATCTTTATCGACTCTGTAAAGCTAAATAATAGAAAGGTATGCAGATCTATACCATCTATATTTTATTTAATTTTTAGAAAATGTAATTAAATGATTTTAACCTATAAAACTTGTTTAACAATATTTTAAGTAGGTATTTTTTAATCTTGCTGGGAATTTACTATTTTAAATTCCCTTAAACCAACACTGATGCATCCCACAATCGGCGACTCCATCTTGAAGAGAACTCAACCAGTCACCGATCTTCAATCGAGAACAACAACAGAAACCTCAAAAACAATGACAACAACGGCAACAGGGAGAGATCGGTTCACGAGAGCAACTTGCAACATCGACAACTTCAGCAGCAACATTGGCAAAAGCGAGGCGCAAAAGGCCGCCGAATGGACGAACGGCAAGGACAACATGAATAATCCATTTTTCGAAACACTTGTCCAGCACCGAGCTCCGTGGAAGATCATAGATATAGGGACGGGTTCCTCTGCCTTCCTCCCTTCCCGTCCTCCTTGGATCATGCAACATCGTAGGTGTTGTCTAGATCTCTGCCACGCATGAGAGCGGCAGCAGGAGCCGCAAGGCAAGTCAAGGAGTCAAGGCTGCGGCGACACCAGCGCCGAGATTAAAGATTCCTCCATAAACAAACAAGCGAAATAATTGAGGCAAAATTGAAGCAAACTACTCGCCGAGGGAGGAGGCTGCAACGCCACAAAGGCTCTGCCTCGGAAACCAGTTCGGATCCGCGGTGCAACAATTAGCACGGAATTTGTGGGTGCCATAAAACGCGCTACACGATGGCCGCTTGTTTTCTGGAGACGCGAAACCATTCCCATTCCCATTTTCATTTTCATATCAATAAAACTGCAGTGTCGATTGCCGTGGCTTTTCTTTCGGCTAACGGTGCCTCCACCGCCCAACTGACGAACTTTCCTCCCATGGCCCCCAATTAGGCACTAAAATCTCTAGCTTTCTATTAAAAATGTTTAAGTATATATAATTGGTAGGAGTTGTCTTTTTAGTTGGAGCTATGTATGTACTTAGCTTGCAATTATTAAATTTTAAAATTGATTAACACCATTTACCTCCTTTAGTTGTCGACCAACAGATTACACAAAAAACTTAATGCAATGCATATTGTCCTTACAGTCAAACATTTTTAAACGCTCTTTATTCGCTAAGGTTGGGTTCTTCCATTCAAAATTGTATTTAATATTTGCTAAAGATGCATTTTGACTTAGGAACATACTCGTACCCCATAATGTAATCGCAATTAATCTTACAAACGTTTAAAAGTGGATTACCATTCCATGTAAAAAAGAGATTGTCGCCCAGTAATAATATAAGGAAAGGCCCAACAAGAAATTTAATAAATAAAGCAGAAATTGTAGTAACAAAATATTTGGACCATATTATGTTTCGCTCATAAATTAATCTGCGATATGGAATGCTGCGCGGACACTCACCGCTCGTTTAACTGGCGCCCAATTAGAGCCACTTCAAAGTTCGCCACGGTATGCGAGGCGCGCGATCTCGGTGGCCATCAAACGAAAAATTCATAATTCCCCGGGAAATACTCCTCCTCGGAGTTCCTCCCCGGGTTATTATTCATAGCCCGATTTCGGACGACGCGGTGCTCGCAGACGGAGGTAATTACGCGCACAGATCAAACAAATTGCACGCAAAATAAATATAATGCAGCCCGGATCGGAGGATAGGAAAACCTGGGAGGGAATCGCGAAATGAGGTTATTAAGATGCCCGACGGCTGCCAACCGGCGGGCGAATTATGATCATGAAATTATGTCTGCGCATCGGCGTGATCTTGAAATTTGGGTGGGGATCCTAAGTCCTCACCAGACATGGCACAATTTCTCATCGCTCATTTCGATGCAGGAGGCCGAATGCTTCTCCTTGGCCACCGGCTGCTCCTCGGTCCGGAGTTAATGGTTCCAGCAGTGGGACTGTTAATAGTCCCAGAACCCCCTCCCTTTTCCCTTTGGATTTTCCATTCGAGACACTTTACGGCCGCATATGAAATATGTGCGCCCATGAAATGAGCTAAATTTCTCGGGAAAAGTGCAACATTGTGGAAAATGGAAATGGAATTGCCAACAGAGCAGCATTCGTGCTGCAATTCCAAAGCAGAGGGATGAAATGTTTGGAGGTGTTTATGTGCGAGTTCATGGCCGGAATTCTAAGGCAGCTTCGAATGGAGACTAAGAAAAATTCCCTTTCGGAAAACTTAAATAAGGAGGTGAGTCTCAGCATAGCAGAGCATCAAATTAATTTATTACCCTCAGTTATTAATATAAATGAGTCGTTTTCAAATTCAAATAAATTATTATAAGCTGGTATTTCCTGTTTTTAAGGTAAACAAATTATAAATCACGAAAGCTTTCAATTTTGTTTTCCTATATGTGCTTAAAATGTAAGCAAAGTATTCAAATTTTCTTGTTACACTTTGTGGTTTTTTAAACATTAGAAATTCCCAAGTAAATATAATGTTTTTCAAGATTTGTATTCAGAATGCGCAACAATGTCTCTCTGCGGAAGGTATTTTGTGACAGTTCATCATTAATCTTTTTAGCATTTGAATCAATCTGCACCTGGCGCTCCCCCCTCAGTCGCGATTATTACATGGGGAATTTATTTCTCACCCGGTGCCCCACATGGCCGAGTGCATTGGGTCGAGTGCATTTTTTTGGCAGACAAAGCCTGTCATATTTGGCGAGCGTTTATAATTTGCGGCGACATCAAGTTGTTGCGCTCTAGAAATTATTATTTGTTGCATTGTCGTCGCGGGAAGAGGCGCTGCCAAAATGACAAGGGAATAATTAAAAGTTTTGCGAGGCACTGAGACAGTGAGACACTTCGACCAAAATTTGTCTGGGCAAATGAATCAAAAAGGAAAACATCTGTTGGGAGTGGCAATGGGGATGGGAATGGGGATCAAGATGAGAATGGTTATGGGGATGGGAAATGTATCATATAGAGGCATCTTTTGCTTAAGGGAATGGCATAATAAATGGGCTGCGCGTGGCATGTGGCACGATCGAGGGAGGCGCACTTACCGAATCTGCCAATTTGCATGAATTTATTGAATCCATCGAAACTGCGATCCCCGATTCCGAAAAGGAATTCTGCCCACTTCCCGGAAGAGAAACGTCACAAGTTTTACTTTGCAATTTCGCACGCCGGCTTTATTTTTGATCATTTTCGTCGCGGTTTTCTCTCGGGTTTTCGATTTCAATTTTTTATATGCAACTACCACAGTTTACATTACGTGTATTTATCGGTATATGTGTGTTTAAGTATATCTAGGTATAGCCATAAAATTAGTTAAGTTCTGACCTCGCAGCCCGCCCGATCCGGTTGAAGATATACCATACACGGGTGTGTATATAGTATGTAGCTCCAGCCAAGTCCGCTCCTCGATCCGCTATTTTTACAACTTACCGGCTAAACTTAATGCATTTAAATGCCTTGAAGATCGCTATCAATTAACCGTACTATATATATGTATAGACACAAAGGATATATTCGTATATGTGTGTGTTTTTTGGGGGTGGTGTTCTTTTTTTTTGAGTTTGTGTCGGTGCCAGTTGAAGCTTAGCGTAGGGTAGTGCTCAAGATATGTACTCCACAAAAACCATGTGTGTTCCAAGACTAAGATCTCATCAGTTCCTCCTCTTTCGTTCTCCCTGGTTACTTCTCCCCGTCCCTGGACTCCGACTCCTCGTGGTCCCCTCCCGCAGCCTCCGCCTCTGCCTCCTGGTGATCCTCCAGTGCCTCGTTTTGATTGCTCTCCACCTTGATGCGACTCAGCGGGTGCCAGATGCTCCCCCGATCCCTCCTCCTCCCGCAGCGAAGGACTCTGCGCCGGCTCCGGCGTGGGCGACTTGCTGCTGCTCCGCCGCTCCATTCCGTAGGGGTGCTGGGCCAGGAAGCCGGGGAATCCCAGCAGTCCCGGCGGATAGGGGTACTTCCCGCCGTTGGCGAACGGTGGCGGGGGGATGTTGGGAAAGGCGCCGGGACTCAGTTCACCGGGCTGGAAAATGGAGAGGAAAATAACAGTCCCCATTTAAAAAGATTACCGATTAGAGTTTCCAGTGTAAACCCAAACTAAAAAGTGTCTAAAACAATCAGGATTACTATAAATAATCGTTTGTATAAATGAAAATAGATTTATCTCTTAAATTATAAAAGGCTTTTAAGATGATTTAAATCTAGAAATACCCCAAAAAAAGGCTTTAGTTTACTCACCTTTGGTGGCAATCCATTGAAGAAGGGCGGCAGGTAGGGAAAGAAGAGCTCCGGTCTCCGCTGCATGAACTCCTGCTCGGCACTCGATCCAGGATGACCCTGTCCCGAGTTCGGACCAGGACGCATGGGGAGCTCCAAGGACATCCGACGACCTCGTCGCGAAGTGGGATTCGTCCACATGTGGGTGCCCATGTGCACCTGAAAATTATAGTAAAAAGGAAACAAATCAAGGGGAACTTAGGTAAGTAAAAAAGCCTACAAGGTTAGTGAGTTTTCCTTAAAGTACCTTTAGATTTCCCTTGGTGGTGAAGGCCTTCTGGCACACGTTGCACTGGAAGGGCTTATCCCCAGTATGGGTTCGCATGTGGATCTGCAGAGCGGAACTGGAACTGAAGTTCCTCCGACAGACGTGGCAGAAGTGCTTGTTGTTCACCGGAGGATCCAAGCTGGAAGTCGGAGGTCCTGCGGACATCAGAGCCTGCTGGAAGTCGAGGGGACTGGCAGGAAAGCGATGGGCATCTAGGGGAAGGAGATCCCTAAGCTTCAGGAAAGGGATCTTAAGGGATTGTTACTCTAACTTACGAAGCTGCATCTTCATCAGAGATTGCTCTGCATCCCCAGATTCCTGCTGGTAATTCGGGGCAGCTCCACTAGCGGATCCTTCGCCAGCCGATGCCCCCTCCTCCGCCATCAACTGCTCCTGGTCGGGATCCTCTTTGATCGGCGTCGCCGGGGGATTCTCGGGGGCGAAGGGCTGGGCAGATGGCTCCGGCAACTTGTCATTCGAGGAGGAAGGCGGCTTCTTCGCAAACAGATTTGGATTGAGAGTGAGCTGAAATGCGATGAGATGTACAATGCGACATTACAGGGCCATAAAGGGCGAGATTTTCCGCGACGGGCGCTAATTTCTGCGCATTTTCAGTTAAATGTGCCGTTAATCCCGCCGCAGCACCAGACTCGCGCCTCTTAATAATCTTTTTTTCGAGCGGAGAGAGAGCCAAAAGCAGCCAAAAGCATAATTTACAATTTTTCTATGCCATCGCGTGTAATAATGCCAACTAATTATCTCGGCCAGACGATGCCGCCGCGTCTCATATTTTTATGGCAAAACAATTGTTCGCAGAAGGGGGGAAAAGGCCAAAAAGGGGGACCTAAGCAGAAAAGTACATACTCGTAGTGCTCGGTGTCCCCGGCAGACGCGACGAACAAAAGATTAAATAATTTTGCATAAAGCGTAGCATAATTTATTTGCATTGAATGCATCGCACACGCCGTCACCGATCCGGCACAGGCTCCTCTATATCTCTCCCGATCCCCGAGTTCCCCTAAACCTCATCTCCCCGAGAAGTTCCCCCAGAGCTTGTCCCCCAATCCAGAAGGAAAATAAATACCAGACGGAGTCGTAAATTTCGCATCATCATAATGCATTCTCGTAATTACTTAAGATTTTGAAATCATTTAGAAATTTCAAGCCCAAAAGATGATGCCGATTCCCGGCCATCGCAATCCCCCATCCCACTAAACGAGTATATCCATATCCCCATCTGAATCCCGATCCGATGTTCGTCTGCTCTAGATCATCAACAATGTGCTAAGAGAGCAAATCGGAACGTGGCAACGGGGGTTTCACGATCTGTCTGTCGCTCCACTGGCGTAGGGGAAAAGGGGGAAGGGGGGTCGCAAAGGGGACCTGCTGATTACCAACTGAAAATGTTATGACACTTACACAGCACTCGCATTTCGACCAAAATTACAATACAAAGGGTAACGAGCGGTTCAATGGGAGTGACGGGATACAAAATGAAGTTTAATGACTATATTCCTTAAAGCTATATTTCTTGTATGTAACAGAGATCCGAAAACATGTATTTATTGTTTTTGATAAATAGCAAAAGAAACCTACAGGTATATTTAAATTAAAGAAAACATGAACGGTTTTACTACACATTACAGAAGAACCATATCGAGATCTCATATTCACGAAATGATTTTATCTATTTTTATTTTGAATTCCATAAAAACGAAATATAAAACTACATTTTAGTGACAGTTTAAAAAAGTGATAGAAAATATTTTAGACCGGCCTGAAAATACACTCTATATATTTACATAATAATTTCGAATTTCCTTACATAAAATGAAAATATTTTTATCAAAAAAAATTATTTATTTATTTACCTAACTATATTTTACCGTGTTTCCCTTAACACCCAATTAAAATCCCGCCCTTCCGAACTCAAATTCCGTCCCTGTGCCGAGACATTCGCTTTCGATTTTGGAAATACTCCAAGAATGTAAGCCATAATGAACGATGTCATTAGTCATAGAGACAATGCCGCACTGCGTGCCCGGCCAGAAATAAATATTAATACTCGCATTTGTACTTAAATTATGGCCGTTCGCAGCAAAACCACTCGCTCGAGAGAAGCGAACGCACTTTAATAAATAATTGGCATTGCTGGGCGATGTAATCCGGGCACTTAAAGCTCTCTCTCCTCCTCCTCCTCCGCTGAGTAGATGAACCTGGGAGTCTGGAAGTCTGGGAGGCTGGGAGTCTGGGCTTCCAGCCCCAACTTGGTCCGCAAAGCGGAACGCCAACAATTAAGGCAAACTATGCAAGTTGGCCACAATTTCTTCATAATAAACCCGAGTGATGACGACGCGAACACGCCGGGCAATTAATAATGTGCTCATAATTTGTATGGTCGCGGCCAAAACGGGCCGAGCTCCAACCATATTTGGCCAAATCGAGGCAACCCCAGGAGCGAGCTGAACCCGCGAACATTTTAATTAATCATGGAAAAGGCAGAGCTGTGGCATCGATTCACCAGATGGCTCCGGTTCTCAAGGCGGGAGTCGAGGTGGGATTAGGACGGCTGGATGCGATGCAAGAACATCCGTATTGGGGCAGGGAATGCTCGTTAGGAATTAACTGCGGATGTGATTAGTGGGTTGCTTCGAAAAGGGGAGCCCAATGAGGTAAGTTAGTTACCGTGGGGGAGTTACAGCACTGATATCATAAATGGTTTAATTTGATGAACAATATTTTATCAAACCTTTACCATATTCTTGATTATAACTAAAGGCTTGATATTGGTTAGTGTGTCTCATAAAAGTCGTCATTTTGTGGAGTGCAGCAAACATAGCAACCATAACAATTTGAAAGATAACCTTTTTATTTTAAATCAAACTCGCGATGAATTGACTTATTGTTTTTTCGAGATAAATGTACTTCTTTAATTTCTTTGTTTTGTATTTTTAAAATTTTTGCTTATTATAAAAAAAATATATATGTTATTTGTTATTTTAACGATATATTTAAACGTATTATCTGTATATATTTAAACACGTAAAATGTTTTAATATTACAGTTTTCAAATCAATCCTCTTTCTATTTTTACCCCAAAGGCCAAAAAACTTTTAAAGAAAAATATCACTTGTATATGCTCGTACCAGAAAACCCATAACTTTAAGACTATTCATTAAATATATATTGAGTGATGCACTTACCTTTGCACCGTACGGTGATCCCGCGTCACTGCTGTGGGGGCGGTGGGCGTGGCCCGTCGCCGGTTCTTTGGCATGTTCGCTCTGCAGATGGCTCTCCAAGGCGGCCAGGCTGGGCAGCATCTTGAAGCAGAAATTGCACACATTGGGGGGCGGGTGCAGACCTGCAGGAGGAGGAGGTTGAAGGGGCAGACAAAGAGTTACTCACGAGGTCAGTGGCAAACACATAATTCCCGCCACGTGCTGCCAAATGTTGTCGCTCGCTGTAGCCGCGATCGCGGATATAATAAATATCCATCCGCGAAAGAGGTTGTGACATAATGAGGCGACAGATCGCTGCTCGATCATTCGTTTGTGCCGCGAATCGGCGGGAATGCGCCGATGTTTATAAATAAATTGCGGAATTTGGCATAGGCATATCAGGCATGGATGCGATGGAGCTGGGCGGACGGGACGCTCCTCGCGGAGCCTTTGTCTCGCTCCAATTGAGTTATGTCGCGCCCAGATCGCAGATTTATCGCACTTCCATTGCGAGCTGCCTGGCAAACGCCGACAGGGTCAAAGGTGGCAGACAAAGAGGCTTTGTCATCTCGATTTACCAAGAGGCGGACAACGGGAGGAGGAAAGTTAATGTCAAGATGTACGCAGATCTGCTGGTCTATTTATACATCTTTGGTCTTGAACAAGAGTGAACTATATAGAACTTTAGAACTGATTGAATGAAATGCCCAAGAAAGAGTTCCTCTTTTAATTGGCGAAGTAAACACAGGAATGAGTTATCGAGTTCTTTTTTAGGGAAAGCTAATGAGAAATCGAAAATTACTTTGGAATTTATTGTACGTTATAGATTATTCAAAAACGTTTCAAAAATAATAAAACATATTGGTTTCCACTTTTTTAACTGATAGAAAATAAAATCTCGCCATGTAACTCTATTAAGATATGTGTTTAAAGCCGACTCAATTCCTCAAATTATTAATAAGATGCGAAAGATCTAAAACAGATTTAAACTGAATAAATCCCTCTCAAGTATATATACCTGGCTAAGTTTAAACTCTTGCAACTCAATGCAGGAACTTTGATAATTCATTCAACAAATACATTAAACAGACTCCACTTTAAAATCAGAGAAAACAATTTTCAATCTGAGTGTAAAAGTTGACATAGTCAATTGGACTCTTTCGGACAACCAAAAATAAAGTCTTAATATTAAACTTTGAACTTTCTGAACACTCTCAAAATGAGATCATTGTATTTTTTAATTCTAATCCAAAATAAACTATAAATAAATAGATATCAAGAATATGCAGACTCACCCATGAATCCGAGAGGACCGAAGGGCAGCAGGGGGAATTTGGCGTGGGCGTGGCCGAGGGCGTGCATCTCCTCGCGGGCGGCGGCCATGAGGAGGAGATTGGGGGGCATGGGCATCCCGAGCATGGGGAGACCTCCGCTTCCGGAACCCCCTCCTCCAGAACTCCCGTTGGGCAGACCGCTGGCGAAGATTCGACCGGAGGCTGAAGAAGGCGAGGAGAGATCCATGGCGGGGATTTCCCCACTCTCGCTGCGTCCTCCGCCCAAATCGGGATTGGAGTGGGATCTCTCTTCAGAGGGATCGTTGGGCATCCTCCTTTCCCTATCCCGATCCCTTACTCCCTCTCTATCCCTTTCCCTTTCCAGCGGATGAGGAGTAGCTGTGGCTGCACTCGAGTTGTCCCTGGAATCGTCTGTGCTGTCCATGGTCATGAACTCGTCGAAATCCCCGCCCTGCGAGGACTCCGACCTCTGACCCGAGTGATCCGAGATGGTGGTGGAGAAGTCCAGGGTGTCCGACGTTCCCAGCGACTTGTTCGAGTTCTGGTCCTCGATTCCCAGCCGCTCTGCCTCTCCGGGATTGGCAGAGGAGCCAGCCTGACCACCACTGCCATCGTCCATGGTGTGGATGCGGATGTGCTGCTGCAGGATGATGCCGTTGGAGAACTTCTGGTGGCACACGGGGCACTTGAACTGGCTCCGCATCGGCGGCTTGATCTTGTGGATGCTCATGTGGGCCTTGAGGTTCCCCTTCGTGGCGAAGGCCCTTCCGCAGATCTTGCAGCGGAAGGGACGCTCCCCGGTGTGCGTCCTTATGTGCATCTGCAGGGAACTCCGGCAGGACATGACCTTCTGGCAGAAGATGCACTGGTTGGGATCCGTGAGCTTGTTCTCGATGTTGTCCACCAGCTGCTGCAGCTTCGAGGTCTCCGACGTCTTGTCGATCTCGATGAGGTCCTCCCAGGACTTGTCGATGATGCGCTCCATCTGAGCGAGGGAGTACTCCGCTGGCTGGGCTTCCCTGCTCGCAGAGGAGCGTCTCACCAGCTTAGCTATGTGCAGGTGCTCGGCGAGATCTCGCTCTCGTTCCCTTTCCTCTTGCGGAGGACTCCCTGTGTTGCTCGTCTGTCGCTTGCGAACGGAACCATTGCGACGCGACGGGGTCGCCACTGGTTTGGTGACCTCCTTCTCGGGCTTTGGCTCCGGTGGCACAACTTCTGGCTTCGGCTCTTTGGGGGTCTTGACCCTCTCCACGGGTGAATGGGACTTCTCCTTTTCCCTAGGCATTGGTTTGCTCAGATCTTCAGCCTGCTGAGTGGGAACCTCCAGTCGGACTTCCTCCTGCTCCTCCACTGGCTGGTGAGCCTGCTCCTGAGCTCCAGGCGCCACTGGAGGAGCGAAGGGAAGGCGAGGGGGATACAGGTCAGCCTGCCCCTGCCCCGAATGCCCCACGTTGGGCGCCACTCCTGGTGGCAGCAGCATGGGCGGGAAGATCTGCGTGTGCCGCTGGTAGTGGACCTTCAGGTTGCCCTTCGTGGTGAACTTGCTGCCGCAGACGTTGCACACGAAGGGTCGCTCGCCGGTGTGCGATCTTAAATGGATCTGCAGGGCGGAGTAGCTGCCGAAGATCTTGCCGCAGTACTTGCAGCGGTGCTTGAAGATCTCGCCGCGACTCTGGGCCTCCTTGGAGGCGTACTCGGAGTACTCCTCCTGCATCTGGGCGGCGTGCAGGCTCTGGGAGGCGGAGTCCAGCACCTCCTCCGTCCGCCGCTGCAGCATCTCCAAGCAATTGGGCTCGTTGGGCGCCGGCGGCGGATCGTGGTTGGTGATGATGCTGGAGGCCAAGCTCGAGCTGATGTCGCACATCATGGGTTGGTAGTCGGTCTTCTGCTCCTCTGCGTTCCTCTTGTCAGTCTTTGAACTCTCCTCCCGCTCCTTCTCCTCCCTCTCCCGCTCCCTCTCCTCCTCCTCATTCTCCTCCATCTCCTCCTGCTTTAATCCATTGCTTGGTGGCTTCTTGGACTCCCGCTCCTTCTCCTTCTCCTGTTCCTGCTCCTCCTCCTGATCCTGCTCCTGATCCTCTTCTTCATCACTCGGAAGCTGGCGACCCAAGGCCACTGCCTCCGCCCTTTTCAATTGACTCTGCAGGTGCTGGATGAGCTGCAGCTGCATCAGGTGCTGCCGCTGCACGTTGAAGATGGTGGACTGCACCATGGCCAAATCAGCGGACTGGTGGCCACCCGCCATCGCCGAGGCGGCGAACTGGGCCACCGCCACTTTGGTATGCTGCAATGCCTCCAGCGAGACGTGACCACTTCCGGGAAGGGAGCCCCGACCGCTGGAGGGGATCAGCGAGAGATCCAGCGCCTCGTTGCTGTTCTCCAGATCCCGGTCCTGATCCTCGGCCAACTCCCTTTCCGCATCCTCGGACTCCGGAACCGCCTGCGTCTCCATTTGCGGCTCGGTGCCATTGTTGTTGCTATCCGCATCCAGCTCCTTGGCCAGCAGGGCGTCCCTATCCCTGTCCCTGTCCCGCTCCCTATCCCTGTCCCTGTCCCTCTCCCGATCGCGATCCCTGTCCCGCTCCCCGCTGCCGCTCCTCGTACCGCCAGTGCCACGGTAATTGATGCGGTTGCGAAATATTGAACACATTATCCTCTCGATCGGAAGCGCTCACCTCCTGATCCCAATTGCCGCTGAGGTCTGATCATGGACCGCTCCCTGGCGAAGAAGAAAGGGGAGAAGATGGGGAAAGTCTTAGATACGCATTTCCCATTTTCCCAGTTACACTGGACAACAAAAGAATATCTTTGGAAATTGCTAGAATAAATGCGAACAAAAAAAATTGTTATCTAGGTGGTTCTGTATATATAAATGCATTTATGTTATTTAATTAAGTGCTTAGACGTATTTATAAAATAATTATGAACTTATAAATTATATACATTCTAAAGTAAGTAAGTTATATCCCAACTATAGGATCGAAGTCCAGTTGCGCAGTGTGATTTAGCAAGACATATGGCCGCATCGTCACGTAAGGCTAGCCCGGTCAGACTTTATGATAAATTTTTGAATATATGAATAGCGGCGTGTCGCAATCTTAGACGTTGAATAAATGAACAGGGCGCATATGGTTAGTCGCGTATAACTTAATAGCTGGCTGCGATCTGCGATCTGGAATCGCCGGCTGGAGCGAGAATTCGGATATTACGGAGTTGCCGTGGACTCCTGACCGGGTTGGAGGAACCCAAAAGAGTTTTGCATCAGCGATTCGCGTAAGAGTGGGTAATTTATTGATTTATTACACGGAATCACTCAGCATAACTTTCAGCCTACCCAGATGATTGAGTTTGCGCCACGAATCTGCGAGTTATTCCACCTAATTTACCTGACGCCGGCAGATATCGGCTATCGAGATATAAACTCTCTAAAAATAATCTGTTCAATGTCGACATAGAGCGGCTATTGTTACATCAGGTCCAAGCTACAAAAAACCAGCGAACCAAACAGTGCACAAGTCAAGAACTTAATTAATTATTATAACTTCATTCTTAGTTAATTGACTACGTAAGATTAAAGTGATGTTTGTTTTTTTACATTTTACAACACAAATTCTCAACATAAATACGCAGGTAATCAGGAAGAGATTTTTTTTAATTTTTAATTTTTTTCTGTTTTAAAAAAATTAAATTAACAGCGATTTTTTAGCTAAAATCGCACTTTTCACTTTCAAGTGCTCCCAAAAATATACAAAAAATAAATTTGAAAAAAACTCTTCCTGATTACCTCGGGAAATTCATTATCTTTACAGCGCATATCACGTTTTTTTTTAAAGATGATCCGTTAACGCCCTATAATGTTCACCGCAAAACAACTTTTTCTTTGGGCGCTTCGGAAGATTAACCGCCATAGGCTTATTTCTAAATATTTTTTAATAATTTGTTTTCTAATACTCTTCAAAAGTTGAACAATTAAATGTAATTAAGCTCAAAAAAAAATAAACTTACTCATTTCGCCGCAAAAAAAATCAAACATGGCCCTTTTTTTGGCCTTTAAAACCTGGTATTGGTATTCACAAAAACATCAATCTTAATTTTAAATCTTAAAAAAAAAGTGTGTCAAAAAATAAAAATCAAAAACATTTAATTTAACTTTATTATTTTTTAATTGTTTTCACTTTTTTTGATACAGGTTATCCGAACTAAATTTTGTATTTTGGGAGAAATAATTTATCTGTGTAAACATAAAAAAAACATTCGTTTATGATTTTTTGAAGAAGATTAAGCTCTCTAAAAAAAATACGACTCTGTAATCTAATGAGCAGAAAAGTTATTTATAGTGATTATAAACATATAGAATTGTACGTTATGATGTGAAGCATGTTGAACGACACTCTGGAGTACATCCATCACTTCAAATATTTCCCCATTGCTAGTTCAACGATTCGTTCTTGTACAGAACTCGAAAGGAATTCACCGAGCAGATCTCCGGATGAAACAGGGAAAGTCCAGAGCCAGTCGGGTATTGGATCGAGTTCTGGAACAGAATCTTCGTCCTGCGAGGAAGACTACGAAGCGGATTCCAATGTACCACCAGCTATTCACGATTTTCTGTATGGTCCGCATGGCGGACGAACTTGACTACGAATTTGGAAAACAATTCAACCGGACATGAGATGGTGTATGAATGGCCAACTTGGGGGGAACACCACCTCGGTTGCCCAATCCCAACTAAAGTGTTCGATGTACGCGCCGCATAAATTTCGTGGCAAATCGATTTCAACATAATTCCACACCGTTTCTGAGTTACACTTTCAACAGGGCCACAAATCGTCGATTTCCCCCGAACCCGAGTCCGATTCCGAATGCGAGTGCCCCAAGTCCTCCCGAAAATAAGGCTTGCACGGGTATCCCATCCGCATTACGGCCGATTGCTTTATGATTATTTCCCGGCAATTAAGGCAATTTATTGGCCAAGGTAAACACTCGCCAGATACAGATACAAATACAGATACAGATACAGATACAATAGTATAGGGATACGAGTACGAATACGAATATCGATTCGACGCACTCGAAATCATCGGGGCACACACATCGCATCGACTCCACTATTTCTATCAATGCCGATGGGCTCATCGGAAATCAATTTGTTTAATGCATGGGAGTTGGCCAGGGAGCCAAAGTCTCGGCCTTTCTCAGGCGAAAGTGTTAACCGAAACTAAAGTGAGCCGGGCCACAACTTATTCCACTTGAGCTGATTTCTTGAGCGATTTACGTACAGCCAAAAACATAAAACTTCCGCAATTGCCGAGGCAACCTTTTCTCGAGGAGCTCTAACAAGAAGTTCCAAGAAGCAGTCTGCGGTGGGATTCCATCAAAAAGTTTCAAGCTGCCATTTCCTTTGTCACTCCACTCCACTCCGCGGAAAAGCCCTGGAAAAAGCGGGAATAGGCGAGTTTCCTGTCGGCAGGTGGTCCACATTCCTCCAAAAGGAACTCTAAATCTAAATCGTTCGGATCTTTCGAGTGAGTTTTGGATCAACACGGCGTCAATCATTCGGCCAAATCGTGAATTATCGCCGAGTATATGTAGTATGCTGCTACATTTCTATCCCCCAGAAAGTATTCGGCGGATATTGATCAAAATTCATTGCAATTCGCCCGATTGATTGATGGCCCTGTTCATATATCCGGGGCCAATTGGCCGCTCTGTTTTGGGAGCCATCGAATGAATGAACCCGGAGCCAACGTAAACAGACACTTTGGAAGTCTGGCGGGCCAAAGGGAAGTGCCAATGCGAGATCTTGATTGAAGTCTGTTGTTTCAACCGTCGATCGAACACGCGCGACTGGCAGTCCGTCGACGGACATCACTTTATTGGCCCCCAAAAATTGTTTCGAGGCAGCTAGCGCCAATTCTGACAGCCTGACGGAAATTACTAAAGATGGGTATAGGAATATTTTTGTAGTACAAATTTAATTAAATAGGATACAAACTTTTTAAATATGTACAATTAAAACAATAATGAGAGATCTGCTTTAATTCGGAAAATTATATATATTTAACAGAGGTCTGGGCTTTACAATTTTTAATTAATGTCGGATATTATAAAAGAAAATGTTGATCCAACTTATAGAAGGAAATTAAATGTTTGATCTTTCAAATGTAATGTAACAAAATTCATTCCGTTCTTTCCGGTTTTGGATTGCATTCTGCTGAGAGAACAATTTCCTATAAACTTAAGTATTCCGTATTTAAAGTGTATTTATTTCAAATATCCGCATTTAAATGCAGCACATTTAGCAAAAATAATTTAACCCTTCAAGTATTTCCCATAGAAGCATGATTCATTTCGGAGGATTGTGTGATAAATGGCCACTCCGTTTCCACCTGACATGTGGAAAGCTTATGGAAAAAACTCCAGCGAGGTGAACCCCACGCTTTTTTCCTCCTACTGAATTGACTTCCCAAAAAAGCCAAAGAAAATATGGGAAATAAAAACGGTTGAAGAAGCGGGAAAAAAGTGGGAAATTGTTTGAGCCAAATTTATGAGCTTCGCTTAAGGAGGCAACTGCGTCTGGTTAGCGCTCCCCCGATGTGTGCGCTATATAGTCGTGTATATATTTATGTAAAACGAACGGGGGAGGGGGGCTTAAAGCCACTCTGGCATTGACCATTTTGCATGAGAGCCCCGGTTCCCAAGCGAAAATATGTTCGAGGCACTCGGGGCAACCAATGACGACAACGAACCCGGAGCTATTCGAAATTCCCCGCTCCGAGTTTCCAGTCGCCAGTTCGCAGTTCCCAGTGTGCAGTTCCCTTACAAAATGTCTGCAAATTTATTAAGCTGAAAAAATTTTATGAGTTGAATTGGTATAATTTTCATATAATTTTTGAGAGAGAAGCGAAATGGAACGCTGCCAGACGACGGCGACGGTCAACCAGTTGAGCCAGCGGGGGGTTAAGCGCCACACACACCTCGTTGGAATGTGTATGTATGTGTGTGAGTGTGTATCTGTGTGGGGGAATTCAAGTGTGTGTGGCAGAAGGGTCTGAAATGAATGAATGGCCTGGGAAGAAGGCAAACTCGAAGGCAATTCCAGATACCCACAATCACACAGACACAACTCACACACACAGATGCAGACACACGATGGCCCACACAGATACTCCACACACAGACAGGGAAGTCCGGTCTGGATGGCTTGTAGATGAATTTGTATTGTTTTGCATTTGCTTTTGGGGCGCTACACTTTTTGCTTCTGCCCCGTTTCTTCTTCTTCTTCTTCTCCGTCCTCCTCTTCTTCTTCTTTGCCATTTCAGTTCGTTTCGTTTTTGTTTGAAGGGAATAATAAAGGGTTGGTGGAGTTGTTAAGCTGCCATTGCAAACAATTAAAATCATAAGAGACGCACATAAATTATTCATGGCTTAATCTAAAGTGGACAATCTATGCAAAGCACCAGGGCACTCACACAACCACACATCTACATACATATGTATGTGTGTATGCATGTCTCGTCGGACACTTGTTTGTCCCCCCCACACTCGGATGGCCATTTTTGATATTTTGCCAATCCTCGCCTCGCTCTCGTTTCGTTTTAATTACTCATAAACGAAGGGAATAATTGCATTCAAGTAGCCACCTTTTGTCTTCGGTTGCTTATTGTTTGTGCTTTGCTTCCATTTTTGGCAATTAGAAGGGACAACGAAGCAGGGAAGATTTCCTCAACAATAATCGGGATCTGTTACGGAATGTGTTAGTAAATGAATGGAATTAGCTGTGGGATAAGTCGAAAATATCGAAGTTACAAGGCTTAAGAGAGTTCTGTTGATCTACATATTTATTTTTTTAAATCTCATTAAACGCTTGATATCACCATTTGCAATCTATCGTGAAAAATTGGCCTAATGCCAATAAAAATGTGTAATAGAAATCCACAACTTATTCAATTTTGTCTGAATCTTGGTACATCAAAAAATATTCAATTCATTTATGGTAACTGATCTTATGTGTATCAATTAGTGCTTGAGAATGTTATTATTTTATTATTGCTTCAAGACAGTAAGAGCTTACAATAAAATCATATTATTTTTTCTAAAGCCAAAAAAAAAAAAACAAAAACAAGAATGAGATTAAATTAAAGACAATTAGCCAATTCAACATTTTTTCGAAAAACATTTTAAAAACCCTATAATAGGCATTTTAATTTGTTGTCAATTTATAAATTTTTTATGATGCAGACTCGTTAACTTTATTATCAATATAAAAGGTCCAATTATTTCTTTAATTAAAATGCTTTTATCGTATTGAATTACAGCACTTATTGAGTCCACACAATTCAAATTTATTTCAGTTATAATTAGTCACTCGTAGATCCGGAATAAAATCAAATTTAGTAAATGGGTTTCGTTATTAATTCAGTCAAGTCTTGCGTTATTCATTTCCGTACCAGCCAATCCCAAATTGGTTTTGATGAATATGAATTAAATTTGGTTTATTACCCTGACAAACCAAAAAAAAAAACGATAAAAAGGCAACTCAAAATCGGGCTGGTTCTAACCGTGTTAGAATGGAATCCAACTAATAAACTTGCGCGGCGGATGAGCAATAAAAATTCAATTTATGCGGTTTATTGGATTAGCGAGCGGAATTAAATTGAAAATTCGCGAGTTCAGAAAAGCATGATATCGTTGCATATTCGAAGACCGCGCTGAAATAGATGGATTGATATATAGACTGACAGATAGATTCGCATTGTGGATGGGTGCTATGTCGGCTTCAATGGCCCACATTACAGAATCACGCTGCGAATAATAAAAACATTTTCGCCAAATATTCGCATTCAAAAGCTACAAAATATGCCGCGAACTGCGGTCGAAAGGAAAGGGGAAGGGGGAAAGGGTGTATCCGATAGATACATTTTTATACAGCCTCTATGGCCGCACATTTCTGTCATAACACAAAATAAATATTTCATCCGTCCTCTGTCTGGTTCAGTATTCCTCGCCGCCGTCGAATTTATTATTAAAATGAAAATAAATTTTATATCAAATATATAAAGCCAAATGGTAGGCGAGAAAAATGAGAGATAGACTGGTTGGCTGGCAGCGCGAAAAGCGCTTCGAATTTTTACAAATGAATTTATTGCCGAGCAAACGAGGAGGGAACACAAAATAGAAGCTCCTCGTCGCTGAAATGAAATCGCGCAACTCATAAATTAATTAAAACAATAAAACAATAATACGAGCGAGGGGTTATGGGGACTTTCTTCAGGCAACGACTATATGTCTCTATATATTTCTGTATCTATTTGCAGCGAAGTGCATGAATGTGAATTATTTATGCCGGGCATGCGTTGCATCAATTGCGACATGATTGAACTGTTCTTCGGTGTTTTCCCCCTTGAATCTGCCAGATACTTTGAGTCTGTGACACACTGACTTGACACCTGTCATCTTTTCGTTTAACCCTCGATGGGCAATGTCTCCGAAAGACTTCCCCTCCACTCCGCCCTCCCATTTCGCCTCCAAGTTTTCATGTTAATTTCCATCTCGACATGTTCTTGTTGCTCTTCCATTGGCTTGCGATATTGTTCGACTTCCCATGTTGTTGTCATTGCATAACAAGCACACACACACACACACACATACCCTGTCATATCCTTGGGCACACAGACTCCTCTCCGAAGACCGAACAACGACCTTACGCCCATGTCGGTTTCACCAAAACCCCCTTGACCCCCCCTCACCCCAATTGGATGCCCACCTTTGGGGCACAAAGTAGTTGTATTTATGTTAACTTTGACATAAGCTCAACATGCAACTTTCGGGCTGCTCCGTTGCAGTTGCATGTCCTCGCATAAAGTGTCAAAGTTAAATAATCTAGCCACTTGGAGTCTAGAGGGGGAGGGGGGCAAGAGGACATGGGTGCAGTACGCAAAAGTAGCCCCGAGCTCAATTTCGATCTTGTGCAGTTTGTATTCCCCAATTTGTAGGTTACTCAGATGCCAGAGTGTTTGTAAACACATATGTGCACCAGGGCCAACGCAATTGTGTGCGTCATGAGGAGTCAACACACATCAGATGATAAATATAACATATAATATAATGCATTTATTTACTACTTTAAACCGAAAGGTTTTTATTGAAACTGTGTGACGCCAAATATGGCACCCAGATAATCAATAAAAGGATGGGAGGAGAACCGTGAATAAAAACCTATTTGGAGAACAACAAAATATTGGATAAGTAAGTATTTATTTCCCCTTTAATAAAAATGCCATACGTAAACGATTAATGTATTTAAATTGCATTCAACGAAGGCACATTATATAACTTGGGTGTTCCATTAAAATTAGCACACTACTGAAATCAAAGTGCATTTAAACCTATAGCTAAGTCGTGATTTATACAAGCAAAAATCGAGTTAAGTACACCAACAAGATGTAGAGGGTGAAAAGGGTTTTTTTGGGATAGAAAAATTCCCATTTTACATTATGTTTTCCCTCACAAACACAATGCACATCTTTCAAATTAAAGTTTCCTTACACTCCGCTAAACATTAAAACACTAAAGGGAGTGAAGAACCAAGTCAGATTACTATATATCCTAAAGGGGTTGAAACCTGTCACAGTTCTTATATAAAATCACCAGAATAATTCAAGAGTTAATGCCCACTATTTTCCTTGCACTTTATTACTCAAAATACCCTTTCGAAACACTATATAATTTATTTAATGGTTTTTTCGGTGACAATCGTAAGATTCTAGTTAAGTGAATTGTATCTTTAATTTAGACAGAATTTCGTGAATTTCTTATTATATTCAAAAATAAAATTGGATCTTTCACTGCACATACATTTCTGTAACATTTTCATGAATGTTCCAATAGATATTGAGCTTATCTTATTTTAAATCAAACTATTTTTTATTCTATTTCCTTTTTTCATTTATTTACGTCGAAATTGTTTAGTAAAAGTATATTTTTCAATGAGCTCAAAGTTTTCTAGTCTTCATAAAGCTGTTGCTGAAACCCTTAATAAACCCATTTCAAGTCACTCAAAAATGGTTTTGTAAATGTTGTACAGTTTTAAATACACCTTTGAGCATTGAATTTCTTATTTCTTCTTTAAATATATTTCCGATACAACACTAACCAACTTCCGTATAAATCTATCTGTTTTAGGAACATTGCAAATTTGAAATTATGATATTTTAGGATGTATATTGTGTACTTATGTTAATGAATACTAATTACCTTTGGGACGGATCTTCAATTCTTAAAATTAAAGACCTGAATTATATTCCTCAAAAAAAAAAATTAAAATTAAATTTTAACTTTAACTTTAACAACTTTAAAAAGACAACAAGGAATTTCTTATTATTATAACAAATGTTTAAAACTCACGTGATTTTGGCGCCGTGCTCCTTTTCCTTCCGTTAGTTTTTACTATCCTTTGTTCACCATCTTTTTGGGGTTAAGTATCTCACGGATGCCGTCGGCAAAGCAGAGCGTTGGTTTTCGCACAGGATTCAGTTGGGTCCAAAATCGAGTTTATTGCACATAACGCCCCCTCTCGCCATTCCCCTCCCGCTTTCACCCTCTCTTTCCGTTCCTTCAACGTTTGGATTTGTTTTTGGGTTTTTTGTTTGCTGGCGAGTTACTTTTTACTTTTGCGGCTCGAGATGTAGATTTTATGATTAATTAAACACGCGCGACCGCTCAGCCCACACGCACTCACACTCACTCACATTCGCATGCCCCCGCCCCCCGCACGCACACCACTGCGTGTCCGTGTGCGCATACACACGGATATGTACTTGTATATATGTAGATGCGTAGGCAGCGGAGGCGGCGGTAATAAAAACGCACTGCGGTACCGTTAAACTTTAGGAAGTGCCAATCTTCTTGGCCTCTGAGTTGTGAGTTCTGAGCCCCAAGTTCTGGGTTCTGGGCTCTGGGCTCTGGGTTTTCTGGGAAAGGCGCTCTCGACTGGCAGGCTGCTTTTTGGCTCGCCGACTGAAACTATGGCCAAGAATCGAAATCGGAATCGGGAATCGGAATCTCGGGCTGCAAAACGAGTCCGAGAATCTCGAAAACCGAGTGCGAGTGCGAGTAACGAAGCGAGTGGCGTTAGCGTTGGCGCAACGTCGGAATGTCCTTTTTGGCGACTGCGAGTGCGGGTGGCGCCCCCGCGCGGCCGGAGAGAGCGAATGGCGGCGACTGAGGCAGCGACGTCCTGCGAGCCGGAGCGTCGAGTTCGTTTTATGGAAAAAAAAACAGGAGTCGCCCAACGTGGCCGCCAAAATTCGCAGCAGCGAAAGCTTCTCTGCCGCTCTCTCGCTCTCTCACCGCCGCTCACTCTCCACCGCTGTTAACGGCTAACAGCTGGGGAAGTGGCGTATAAGACTGCAGTTCGAATGTTAGGCCACCGTTAACTGCCGCTGTTAAGGCGCAGACCCCATATAGCCGTGCTCCTCTAACCTCTCGCTCTCCCGCGCGAGAGAGACAATCCAGAGCGAACAAAAAAACGAAATATAAAGTAATCCCAACGAAACGTCTTCGTTTTTTATGAACGTGCGCAGCGGATCGGCAAATAAATAAAAACGCATATATAGCAAATTATGACAACTTTAGGCGGAGCAACGACGACGTCGATGTCGACGCAGGCCCTTATTTTTATTTTTGAGACTCCTCGTTGGCTCGGCATCCCAATCATATTTTTCCTTTATGTGCTCGGCTCCTTGCTGCTCCTTTTATTTATCCATATTTCCGTTGTGTCAGCCGCCGCTGCTGCTGCTTCTTCTCCTTCTTCTTCGACGGCGTCTTGGCCGCCGATTGTCCTTTTTCGCAGCAGGGATTTCGGATTGGCCAGCGATTTGCCGACGGGAATTTCTTTGCAAGCAGATTGCAAGTGTTTGGCAAAGTTGTGGGAATCTTATGATGTATATAATGTATATAATGTTATTTTTACCTATTAAGAATTAAATTAAATTAAATATTTTAAAATCCGTTTGTAACCCCATGTCAGGAATACCATGGCGCTTTTCCCATACTTTTAGAATTTGATTTGAAATGATAATCTTGAAATGATAAAACTGAAATGTCCGAAGCAATTATAAAAACTGATATGTTTTTTTTATATTTAATCTCGTTTTCCAAGCCCCTAAAAAATGTCACTTGGTTCACATGAACTATGCATTTGCTTTTGTTGCACGATTACTGTACATTTCATTCAATTCGATTCGATTCGATTGGATTTGATTTGATTCCAGTTCGGCTCACTTCGATTGAGTGCATCACGTACTGCAGGCGCATACTATATGTATCTAGAAATCTGCATGATATCTACTCGGCAACCCTAAAAATTCCCAATGGAAGGGGTAACAGCTGCCACTTATGATTTACTAAAAACCGTTCAGTGGCAACAAAAATTTCAAAATGGTTGATATAAAAAATGAACTGAAAAATGAAAACGAAATGAAACCGAATGAGATGATCAAACAAAAAACACACGCAATGCAAACAGTGTTGCGTTCACATTTCCCAACCCCCGTGAACATCCCTACTTAAAAATTCAGGTCCTTCCCACCTATACACACGCATATGATGATATCAAATAATAACTAACCCTCTCCCTTGATCCCTCATAATGCCTATAACAAAATACCAGTCTGTACATGGATTTTTTTCAAATCAGAAATAGAATGGAAATAGTAAAAATGTATAAAAGATGGCAGCATCCAGAGACACAAAGTCTGAGAAGTCGCCCCCACGCCAATATCATCTCTCACAAAAGAATACCCCCAGAAAAACGAAACCGATCCCGTAACCCATTTGATCTTCGTTCTGAAGATCTTTTCTTTTTTAATAATCATGGCGGAGTTGCCCTTTCTCTCTCACTTTACCAAATGCATCTGAGGGAGATAGCAAGTGACATTTCTATGCAAATCAATCCGAAAAACTTGTTTTCCTTCCAACATTTTTTGATGACGCCGATTTGTCTCCACAATCATAAAAATCGTTAAAGAAAACAGAAAAGTTCAAGGGAAAAATCGGGGAAAGATATAGAGAGCGAGAGGGAAACAAATCAAAGAGTTTTTCCGACCAAACATATTAAATTTTGGAATAAATTATTACTACACATTTTGAGCAGCAAATGCGACAAATCTTCGCTTGACCCTCACCTCAAGTCCAAAAACTCAAGACTTCGGAGAACATCTTTTATAATTTTCGGATTCCCTCATTTTTTTCCTCCCATTTGTGATAAGAAAACGTGAGAAGGTTAGGAAAGGTTATGGGAGAAGTCGGTGGGATCTGAGAAGTAGGCAGGTTTCGTTTACTTTTAACATAAACATTTCTGTGGGAAGTAATATTTTATTTAGGACAAAAAAATGGATGCGACTTCTTGAATTTAAAAGATTTAATGGTAAAAAATAAATACAAGAAACATAGTCTGAAATTTAAACTAAAACAAAATTCATTATATGTACCTTTATTATATTTTCTTACACATGAATTTCTACTTAATCACATACTTCAACTGATTTTAATGCTTATTTTTTCTCATACAAATCAACATTAACTCAGGTCATAAATACGAGTTGATAGTTAAATATTTTTTGGTCACGTCTAATTGCCTGGCTCATTAGGCACTTAGCCCTAAGTTGAGTTCTAATTCCAAACCTTTTCCATCTCCACAATCAATAAAATGTAAAACGCACGTCGCTCGATTGATCAAGATCGTCGGCTGGGCCTTCAATATATTATATATCACGTGTGGCGGGAAATGAAATAAAATAAATTGAAATTGAAATTAAAGCTGGAAAAGTTCTTTATTTTTATTTTTCTCATTTGCCGTAAAATTAAGTACTTACCAGTACCGAAGGTTCTTTTTGTCTTCGTGTGGGTCGAATGGGTTTTTGATATGTTTCGAGTGATTTATGTTAACGATGACACTTTTAATGGAATCGATACATGCTCAAGGTTTGGGTTCCCTAAGGGTTTTGTTTAATTTTAATTCGGTTTTATTCTGTTAATACTATTATACATCTTGTTATTAGAACTTGTCTTTTTTATGATTTTGAATGTGGTTGCTTAAGGTTTATTTTAAATTTAAATTCTGTTTTGTTTCTACAATTTTTACTTGCAATCATAAAAGTAATTCCATTGTTGTTCTGTCATTTTGTTGTTTTCTTATGTTTTTGTATTATTCTTAATTCAATCTTCAGCTTATAGAAAATACAAAGATGTCCAAGGTTTACTTTAAATTAGAACTTTGTTTTCTGGTCAGTTGTTGGCGTTCACTCCTAACTTATTTTCGTAAGCTCTATTTTTCTTTAAGCTCATAGAAAATATAAAATATTTTTTCTATGTTTATGCTCCTTCTCTCAGTTTTTTTGTTTTTATAGCTTTTCTTATTTTATAGAAAATACATAACCTCTTTCACAGACTTGCAACTCAACTTGCCATTTGAAGAAAATTAAATTCTCCTGAAAACACACAGGGACAAAACCCGAAAACCCGAAAACTGGCAAGGCATTTAAGAGTTGACCTTGTCTCGGGCGGATTGTGGGCGGTGGCGGGTTTTTGGCTCCGGCTCTTTGGGCCATTTACCCGATTGCGTTTAATCGATTTCTTTGTAAACTGGAAACCAATGTCAACAGCCTCGCACAGATAAACTCACACAAATAAACAAATTCCCGGCTGGCGAAAAGGAGCCGACGAATTTGCTTCTTTCGAGCGAGAAAACATTTGCACACTTAAACGAAGCAAAAGAATTCCTTGTGGGGCGGCATAAAATCTATATCGCTGCGAAAACTAAGAAATTGTAGTGCAAAGAGAGCGAGGGAGAGCGAAAAGGACACAGTCCCCGGAAAGGACTTCCTATTCCCCCTCCCCCTTCTCCTTCCACTTCCCCCGAGGCGCCTTTTCGCTTAGGTAAATAGTCAGTTTGCTTGTGCGAGGAGCGCAGCAAAATGTATCTGTTGGATACATATCGACTCGACTCGACTGCCAGTGCTGGCTGTCCTTGCCTGGCGCCCATTTTAAAGTGCCTACATCGATTTTTTTCACCCAACGAAAACTTTGGGCCATAACTCAACTTTTGCGGCTGCCGTTGGCAATTAACACGCCCACTCCGCCGCCCCGCGAACCATCATCATTTCGAATGCTTAATGGCAAATTTATGTGGCGCTGCATTCCCTGCTAATGAAAATGGAATTCATAAAATAAAGCAGCGCCGAGCATTTGGGGCGACACATATGTGTGGCGACTTGGCTCGTGGCAGCCACATGTTCAATCGGAGCAGATCACTAAAGTCCCGCCCAAATGGGGAAATTAACTAAACAGCAGATGTAGAGGAACTTCTTGAATTGCTGGAGGAATTTCCAGCTCACATAAATTACATGATTCATATTTTAAAATCTGTTAAGCAAATATGTTGAGCTGATTAAGAGCTCCGAGGAATTCTACGGCAAGTGGTTGTGGCAACTTCAGGGAATCTAAATAAAAATTTCCTCATTAAGTGATATTATTTATGAAATGATTTATTTATGTAAACGGTTTAATCTTTATTATTTTATAAACAATTTATAAATTTTTTTTTTTAAGTATTGAATAGAATAATTCAAATATAAAATACTTAATTAAATTAAAATGGTTTAGGTAGCTAAAATTAATAACTCTCGCTCGTAATGTTGTTTATAACAATTTATGAAAAGATAAATGATCAATTTAACTATAAAGTCACAATAACAAGTCGTTTCCAGTTCTTATGTTCTTTATATACAAGTAAAACCCATAGAAATGAATGGCTTAGATAATTACAAAATTCTACATCGCTTAGAATCTCAAACTTGACCTAGCCTTCGTATCTTTGACTTAAATTTGCGCCTGCTTTAAGCAAATCACTAACACAAACCTTTCGACTGCGTCCGATGAAAATTTAATGACAATTGTTGCATTTAAATGTTGGCCCATTTAGCCGGGCTCCTTCAGGTCCTCGGAGCCACCCAGACCCTTCGGCCACGCCCCCTGCCCGCATCCCGCCGCCCCCAAAAACCGAGAGTCAAGGCCCCGACAAAATCGATAAGGTCCAAAATAGACATGTCTGTTCTGGCTCTGCTTCTTCTTCGGCTTCGGGTTTTGGGTCCTGGTCCTCTGATGTCGCTTCCTTCTTTTTTGTTGCCATTGCCGGCGACGTCAACAAGATATATTAGCTGGTTTCATTATGAGGGGGATTCC